AGAAGGAGCTTCTAGGGGCATGCATAAATTGACTCACTATTCCAACAACATCATATCTGTCGGGGTGAGTATGAGCGAGATAGATGAGTTTTCTCACAAGACATTGGTAATGAGTCTTGTTGGCAAGCACAACATTGGGAATGTCACAACATTAAGAATGCCATGTAAATTTTCATTAAGATCCATAGAAGCATCAGCAGGTTTACACAAAAGAAGGTTGTTCTCTGTCAAGAGAACAATCCATATTTGAGTTGAGACAGACAAATTCTCTGAGATGATCAAACCACTTCCATGCCTAAGAAGTATCAAAGAGATCTCAAGTCCTTCATCTTAAAAGATGTAGCAAGAATCTCATTTAAGGACTCCAATGCTAAGACATCATTGCCTGTAAGAACAATATCATCAACATAGATAAAAAGGATAATTATCTAGCCATCAGAGGAATGTCGGAAGAAGAGGATGTGATTCAATTGAGCCTGAGTAAAACTATGGCTTAGAAACACCTTTATAAACTTGCTAAACTGGGCCCTTAGAGACTGTTTTAGCAAATAGAGGGACTTTCATAGCCTACACACTTGTCCTCTGGAGGTAGTAGATCAAAGTTCAAAGGGAGAGACATGTACTCCTCTTCTATCAGCTCTCCATTTAAGAATGCACATCTAGTTGGAATAAAAGCCAATCCAGATTCACCACAAGTGACAAAATGACTCGAATAGTGTATAGCTTAGCCATTGGATCAGCTGACTCCTCCTAGTCAACTCCATGTGTCAGTGATTATGCTTTGGATATCAATCTTACCTTTTTTGCATTCAAAGGACCAGTCAGAGACGAACTTGGTGTTGAAAATCCATCAGCACTTTACTGCTTTCAAATTGCCTCAAGGAAGGTCCACCTTGTCCCATGTATGTTTCCACTGAAGGGAATTCATCCTCCATTCTATGGGTTTCCAAACTAAATCAATAAGAACAACCTCAATAGTAGCAGAGATCTGATGGTCCATCAAGGCAGTGACAAATGCTTTGTAAGTCAGCGATAGACCATGTAAAGAGACATCTTATTCTATAGAATAGAGGGAGCATGTCTATGTGTACCGTACTTGAAGAACTAACCTCTCCATTCAAAGGAGTCGTGCTGAAGATGTCATTGTGAGTAGAGTCATGATCCTGCAAGAAGGAAATGAACTCTAAAGTAGGAGCATCGGGATGGGTGCACCGAGTGTAGACACGGACAGTGGGAGGAGGAGAAGTTGTACTCAATAGAACAGGGGAGTCCGTGGTGGTAGGAACAATAGGGGTAACATTCATAGAAATAAGATACAATATCATGTTAGAGAACCCAATCACTCCCTAACTTAAGGCCGAGCTAGAAACTCAGAGAACACTTGCAAAGAATGAGACATCAACACTAACATAGATTTTGTTTATGGTAACATCAAGACATTAATACCCATTTTGAGTTGTGGAGTACCTAAGGAAGAAAAATTTTATGGATTTGGGATCAAGTCTAATCCGAGTGGGGGCAGTGTTTCGATCAAAGGTCATGCACACAAAAACCTTAGGATCTAATGTAGAGAAGACCCAATTCGTAGGGAAGCATGACATCATGACAGCTAATGGGGTTTGAAACTTATGAATTTTAGAGAGGACTCTATTTATGAGATAAGCAGTAGTTAGAATGTCATCATTCTAAAATAGTTTTGAAACATAAGATTTAAACAAAATAAAGTGAGCAACGTCAAGGAGGTGACGATCTTTTTGCTCGGTTACCCCCATTTTGTTAAAGAGTGTTCATACACGAGCTATGATGGAGGATGCCCTTATTTACTAAGAATTCACCTAAAATAGTATTGGAAAACTTATGGCCATTATCAGTCCAAAGAACCTGAATAGGAGTTTTAAATTGAGTTAAAATAAAGGTGTATATGTTTCAGAAGGAGATAAAAACTTTAGAGTTGTCTTTTAAAAGGTTGACTTATGTTCTTCGAGTGTGGTCATCAATAAAAGTCAGGAACCACATTTTATTGGTGTAGCTGAAAGTACGAGAGGGTCCCCATATGTAATTATGAATGAGGGAGAAAGGAGCAGAAGATGTGTAAGTGTGGGGTGGATAATGAACTTGATGATGGTTGGCTAACTGACATGTCTCGTAATTGAAGTTAGAAAACATTTTATTAGAAAACATCAAAGGATACCAATTTTTCAAATATTGAATACTAGGGTGACCCAAATGACAATGGTATAATATAGTGGACATTCAATAACCGGAGATAATCTATAAATCATGAATGGTGTGTCCACACTCTTTGTGCTTTTCACTTGAAAATAGTTGAGTCCAACTACCTTATTAGCAATTCCAATCATTCTATCCAAACAATGATCCTAAAAAACACAACCATCATAAGAGAAATTAACAACACAATCATTATCATTTGTCAATTTGCTGACAATTAACAAGTCACATTATAATAGGGTAATATGGAAATCAGACTCTAGAGTTAGATCGATCTTTCATACAACCAACCATTTACCAACAATGACACTACAAGAGCCATTGGCAATTCAAAAAGTATCTTTTCTCTAACATGGACAATAAGCCAAGAAATCTTGTGAAAATCCAATCACGTGATCTGTAGCACTTGAATTAATAATCTGCATACTATAGGAGTAATAAACCATGAGAGTAATAGGAAGTATACCTTTTCGTACATGGGTTGTCGATGGAACTGCAAGAACTTGATTGGCTCCAATAAGTTTGACCAATTGCTCTATTTTTTCAGAGATTCAAAGGATTCTGGGATGTTACATGTAGGAACCGATTGAGTTGTGGTAGGCTCGGACATCGCCGTGAGATCCTTGGAGGTCGAGAATTTGGTTGAATGTTTGTACTCCGACATAACGTGAAGTTTCTAACACTTGTCCCAAATGTGGTTGGGTTTGTAACAATAATCTCAAGTGGGGTGATCTGTACGATATGGCATGGATGAGGGTTGAGCACTTTTTAAGATCAAGACATATGAATTGCTGAAGGAGTGGAAGTGTCGAGCATGAAAAATATCTGGCTTTCTTCTTGATGAATCTTGGTGAAGGCTACGTGAGCGGAAGGAAGAGGATCCCGACCATGAATGTGGCCTTAAACTTCATCAAGGTCTTTGTTAAGGCTAGTCAGTAATTGGATCATGCGATCCTTTTATTAAAATCTTCTAGAATAAGGATAGGTTGGCCTTAAAATCCTAAGTATAGTCACAATATAAATAGCATTCCATCCATAGTGCAACAAGGTCGTTATTATACCGAGTCACAGTCCTTGTCCCCTGTTTTGCCTCTCAATTTTTCCTAGTGCCTCATAGAGTTGGCTAGAATTTCCTACATTCGAGTAGGTATCATGGACAACCATCAAGTGGGCACTAGTTGATGAAAGGAACATATATGAATTTAAAATCAAAATCTCCGTGGAGTTGATTAGCTTCGACATGACCATGGAGTTTTCTATTTCCCAAGCTCCATTTGCCAGCTCAGTTTTTCGAGGCTCACAAGCCATACTTGTGAGGTAACCAAACTTTCTACCTCCTTTGATCAACAAAGGCACCCCTTGGGACCATTGAAGAAAGTTATTTTCATTTAGTTTATGGGTTGTGATTAAGATATTCATGTTGGTTTTAGATCTTCCAGTTTGCAAGGTAGTGGAAATTGTGGTTGATCCTCCATTGGAATCAAGAACACATTCTAAAGGTGGTTCTAAGTTGTGAGGAATCTGCCATATTCTAACTAAACCAAAGGAGATGTTGTGGCTCTGAGCCATTGATGAATTTTGGTAGGGTTATAACTGAGCACTGAAGGGAACAACGACTGTAGGAAATAACGTTTATTGTAGAAAAATAGCAGTTGCTATAGAAAACAGCAAGAAGGGGCCTCGGATCCATAACTGCATGAAAAACGACTGCAAAGGGATGTCTAACGATTGTTGGAACTTGCGGCTGGAACAAAAGGTTCATGCAGCTGCTGGAACCAATAGGGAAGGTCGTCGACTAAGATGTGCAGGCTGCTAGAATCGGTAGAGGTAGCCGATGACTGCTAGATTTAGGGTTAGGTTTTGATACCATGTTGGGATTTGAAATAGAGCAACACAATATTATTGATAGAAGAAGGGGTATTTAAATCCAATTACAATATGCATATAAAGGAAAGAAATAAAACATAATAAAATAACTAGAAAAAAAATAAAACAGAGTAAAGAAAATTTAAAAATACGTAATAAGGGTGTAAGAGTAAATAATAATAATAATAGCTAGTGATTGTCATTATAATCTAATAATCATTAAAAAAAGCTTAATCATATATAATAATCTTCAATATAAGAAATGAGAAAATAAAAATCAAAAGAGAAACAAAAACAAAAATTCTAAGCGTCAAAGAAGTAGAAGCCTCCTTGATCTAAATTTAGAATATTATCTTTAAAAAGGTAATAATTGAATTAACATTTTTTTATTGACAAGCATAAGTTAATTATATAGATATATATATATATATATATATAGTAATTTTCTCATTATTTTTCAGTCTTGATGATTATTATAAGCTTTATTTTCATTGTTATAAAAAGTTCATAATTGTAAGAAGTAGGTTCATTTGAATGGATATAAATTGCTTTTTACTTTGTCCTAATTAATAGCCTTATTATTCTTAATTACTTATCCAATCGATTAAGAAAAATAGTTTTTGAGTACCCCCAATTTTATAAACAGCCCTATTTTAGATTACAGGGAGGTTACATGGGGTATAATGCGGACTACTTATTGATAGATTACATGCATGTTACAAGAAGGTTACAGGGGGTATAACACGGATATAACCCCCAATACCCTCCCTTTAACTTTCCTTGACGTACGCAGCGCTGCGTACGTCTTACGTACGCAAATTTTTCTCATGTTCGTGAGAGTTGTCTGCGAGCTAACCATGCAATCTCTTAAAACAAAGGAAATATATCGATTCATTAAAAATCACCTTGCCGTAATTTTTGAAGTTGGTCTTTAAGATGTGCTCCACGATTGCAGGATCAGTGGTGTAAATCAGATTGTGAAAAGGAGCATACAGTCTGAAGGTCTTGTACTTGCGAGATACATCCGTGAGATAATCGTGCAATCTCTTGAAGTTTAGGAACTTTTGGAATATGGTTCCGGCGATCGGATGGTATCTCTTCTTCGCTTTCCTGGACAGAATTCTATGGCATCCGAAGCTTTTGATGGCAACCGAAACTAGCACAAGTATTGATATTGTTGGAAGGCATGCAGCCAAGAAAGCAAGAGAAAGCTCCATCTTTGAGTTTGATTTTTAGCAAAAGGGACCAGAAGTTATATTGTCAGTTCCATTTCACTTTGGCAACAAAGCTTTTCACAAGAAGAAAGGGAAGAGTTGAGATTGGACCGTAAACAAATTAATACTATCAGGTGATAATTTAAATAAATCGTTATATTATAAAATAAACGAAGATAAATTTTGATATTTAAAACCATTGTATATAAGCGATTCAATCAAGAGAACCGATAAGTTGTGAAAATGATAAACAATAATTTTTTATTTTAAAGATGAATTAATTTAAATGATATATAATCAGTTAAAACTTCTTTATGTTTACTCGATTGACCAATTTTAAAGATGAGTTGAAAGCCATGCTTGTTTATTTACATATGTGAAGAAGTTCATGACTTATCCGATGTGGGGAAAAAATTTGCGTACGTCAGGGGGTACGCATCTCTGCGTACATAATAGGGTACATGAGAGTTATACGGAGATTACAAGGGGGTTATAACCTGTTGTACCTCCCGTGTAACTCTCGTGTAACCTCCTGTGTAAATCCCGTGTAACCCCGCTGTAACAATTATACATGCTTGTAACTCCTATGTAACTCTCGTGTACGCGCTTGTAACTCCCATGTAACTCCCATGTAACTCCCGTGTACACTATTATGTACGCAGAGATGCGTACCCCCTGACGTACGCAATTTTTTTCCCCGATGTGGGCACAATAACACTCATTTAACATGTCTTTATTAACTTATTTAGATGACTTTTTGATATGTTTTCTTATAAAATTCATATTTATAGATGTGTGCTTGGCATTTTTGTCTTAAAGGGAGGATGATGGACCAAATAACTTGGAGTAAAAAAGCGATCTTTAATGGCAATAGAGATGGTTTTTCTCTTAAATGAAGAAAGGCGGACTAGACCTATATTCGATGGGCGAATAAAGATGATAAGGACAATATTTTTTTATGAATGGAGGAGATGGTTGAGACGATCATTCTCATTAGTAGAAGGGACTGGATGTCAAAAGGATTGGAAGTCAACAGTTGATGTAGGTTGTTGAGTATTCATAAATGAATGAGGTGAATTAGGCGATTGATTCATTATAAGACAAATGATAATAAACACATTGGGTCTCCTAAATTGAGGCTTGAATGACCAGAAATCATTAAACAATGATAGCAGACAAGTTAAATGGCAATGTTGGCAACTAGAAGAATCCTTCCCTTGAAAAGAAGTGAATTAAATATAAAACATAAACTTGATAGGAAAAGGAAGAAATTAAGCTATTCCTTCTCCTAAAAGGATGAGGGTTCATGGACTAAAAGACCAAATAACTTATATTTAAATGTAGAAAAATAGAAGATAATGTCATTATTTTGAATGGAGAAATGCATATTAGACAACTTAATATTGGTGTATAATAAGTGGCATGCAGCTGAGATAATCATTCTCTAGAATAGACAGAAGTCATTTATACAATTTAAGTTGGAAGATAATAAGAGGTCGAGATATTTTATCTCCTAAATAAAAGGAATTTGATTGGATAAATTGGAGAAGGTGGTGCAACGAAGATCTATAAACACTAATATAGTTAATTAGACAAAAATGTTCCGATATATATATGTATATAGACACGCACGTGCAGGCACGCGCGCGCGCGCGCGCAGGCACGCACGCACACACGCGCGCACACACACACACACACACACACACACACACACACACACACACACACACACACATATATATATATATATATATATATGTCATGAATAGGGCTTCAAAATGTAAACAACGAGAATAACAATTGTATAGATTATGAGAGGTAATAACTTAATCCATAGTTGTCCTTATATCATAATATTTAAAATTTCTATCAATAATAGATTAATTATTTCATGTCATCAATTAATTATTAGTGATTATATATTCTCATCCTAAGCCATCTTGATTGACCAACTCATGCTCTAGATAAATTATCGATGTTGACAAATATGTGATGTGACAATCATCATTGATGACAAAGTTTTCATCAACGATTAACTATATTACTTCAATTTTATTAACATCATGAATAAAATAGAGTTAATTGATCAAAAAGTTGATGATTGAATTAAAAAAAATATTCTTAAAAGGTTTACAAAATAAATTTATGAATTTTCAAAAATGGTGGCATGAAATTATTCATTAAATTGAAAAGAGTGATATAATAAAATTGGCTTGCAAATTTGAGATATATTGACATAAAAACAACTATAATGAATATATATCTATTAAAATGATTTACACAATAATAATCAAGTTTTGACAAAGTCAGAAACTTAAAAATGATTTTTCTTTATACATCTTTTTGAGGACTACTTTTGTGACAATCAACTAGCCTTCAAGGATGTGATATTGATCATTACTAGTTGTGAATACCCATCATTGTACATGATGGAGAAGAGTAAAAAGATAATTGGTGAATAATTATGTCTCAATTGGAGAAAGGTGAAGGAGCTATTTATACCAAATTTCAATAAATAGATCCTTCATTCAAATTTGAGCTTTATTTTGTGTTTTGGAATTATCATTAGGAGATAGATATTTTTACCATAAATATGCATTATTTAGAGACTATTTGGCCCTTATAATTTTTGAAGCCCTAATTTACAAATCGTTTAATCTTGAACTGATTTAGATGCTTTGAGATTTGCATTTTTGCTAAGAATATATGTAATCAAATAGGCTTTCTAATCATATTAATGCATAAGTAATGAATGTTCTTATTAATAGAAGCATTATATAATTATACTAACATTGAAAAATTACTTGCATGCAATTTTTAAATTAACTACAACAATTTTGATCATTACTCAAAATGGTCGACCTTATTTGAATAGTCAATGTACACCACTGATCTCCAATAGGAAGGTCGTAACTTCAAATTCTACAAAAAAAAAGTTAAATATTTATACAAAGAAACAAAATTCTAAAACTCGATAGTATTGAAAGCTCATCTCAATAAAAATAGTAAATTACTATATTATGATAATACTTAACTTCTCTTACATTAAAATGAATTAAAAGAAAAGAGAGGAAAATGAGGCATATTATTTTTCATAATAAGTTTAACATAGGTAGGTGAAATTCATGCTATCACAATAAACTTTAGCCATAAAACATAAAGGTATGCCAAGTTCATTTAGTTGGGATTGAAAATTCCCAACTTTTGCCAAGATATTGGTGATGGCCTATTTTCTACTTCAATTTATAAAGCAAACAATGTTTTGATGGCCATGAAAAATAAAATTGACACTTATGGTGGTTGAATCAACAATGTTTTTTACTTTCTCAATATTGAAGAAGCCAAGTCAATATAATGGTGAGTTTTTGCTAAGAAATAACCCGTGATGGATAGTTGCTTGAAGGCGGTGAAGGATCTAGTTAGAAACATTCTAGTGAATAATTATCGATCAATGAATGAACTAAATGTGTTTATTGATAGCTAAAGAAATGTCCAATTGTGTAAGAGAAAGGTACTATAATTTTCTAATAAAGGATTGATACTTTATGACATTAATGAGGAAGATGACATCATGTTTTTGAATGCGGTTGAGAGACAAGTGAGTGCATATATTTGTATTTTTACATTAATATGCTCTAATAGATGTTGAATGCATTTGAGTAAAAGAATTAAATTCAACTCAAACATGTATAAGAGAATTCCAAGATCTTAGATATAGAATTTAATGGATTATTGATTAGTTATATGAGATTTTTGCCATTGCACATGAGAATTATGCCATAGAAAAGAAAGGAAAATACACTATCAGGTGTTACTACGAGTAAATAAATATTGATTTACCCAAAATTAATTTAATAAAAACACTATATAAAAGGAAGTGGTGAATTTGTTGATATTAAGCATGAGGAGCTTTGTTGCGGCTATTATTCAGTGAGCTGTGTGAATACAAAATTTAAATATTAATGTTCATTTTAAATAAAAATAATAGTATTTTATGAATAATTTTCACTAAATGTATTATATATTAGAAGAATTTCTCACATTATGTGAGATTTATTTTTTAATGAGGAAAGGAAATATTGTGAAAATTAAGAAAGAAAGTAAGGTTGGGCCTTGACTTTGTGTATTGTATGTTGTGACACTACTCAGTGAAGACAAATTGGAACAAAAATGAAGTAGTCGATGTGAAGCAATGTACATGGAGCACTATGACTCTCAAAATATAAAGAACAATTCAGGAAACTGAGATCTTACACTCATATTTGGGAGCATTGCAACACTTAAAAAAAAAATGTTAAAATCTATCCTAAGAGACAAATAACAAAGAATCACGATGTTAGCCCTAAGTGTTGCAATGCTAAATCCTATAAAAATCAAGCTAAGAGATAGTGTGCATATCACCATTATGCTATAAGACTCGATATCACCACAAAATGATTGAAAAAGGTTTAATTTTGAAGTTGTTTTTAAGTTAATTGAGAGAGTTATGCATTCAATTGGGGGTATTATACATGTAATTGTGGGATTCATGAGATGGTGGCACTTGATTATTATAAGGATTAGTAAGGTGTACTTAGCGTGTTGTAATTGTTAGTATGATAGAAACTTAAAGACTAAAAGAGTACTAGAGAGTGGATTTAGAGAAGGAGAGCACTTTAGAGCAGAAGTAGAAGAGCATTTAAAAAAATCTATAATTAAAATTGATTCTATCTTTCAAATTAAATTAATTAAAATCTATTAACTAGATTAAAGGGGAATTCAATTTTAACTTAGACTTAGTGTTAGGTCTAGTTTGAGTTAGACCTAAAGGTAATTCAATTTGAACTAAGTCTAAACTAGATTAGATTTAGGTTAGGTCTACATTGGGTTAAACCTAAGGTTAAGTTCAATTTGAACTAAGTGGTTAGACTTACTTAGGTTTGGTCTAAGTTGAATTAGACCAAAGGTTAAGGTCAATTTGAACTAAGTTTAAGTTAGGTTAGGCTAAAGTTAAGTCTAAGTTAAGTTAGACCTAAGCTTAAGTTCAATTTGAACTAAGTCTAAGTAAGGTTAAACTTAGGTTAGGTCTAAGTTGGGTTAGACCTAAGGTTAAGTTCAATTTGAACG